ATGTTTCTGGCAGTCCAAGGCTTCTCGTCCCTCAAGCCCATCCAGGCCGGGACATAGCAGAAGAAAAACCAGACACAAGCGCCACACTCGCCCTTTCACACATGTGCGCTAGTGGGTGCGTGTACACACTCTCACGCACGCGACACAGACACAGACACAGACAGAGACAGGGACAGAGACAGAGACAGCCAGACACACGAGCACGCACGCACGCACGCACGCACGCACGCACGGTCTTCACCTCTAACTTCGAACTACCTCAGTTGCGGGAGCAGACTGGAAGTCCTACGTCTGAATCGGGACTTAGAACGAACTCCCATGTCCTGTCCATCCAGCTGCGACGCAACATCCTGCAAGCAGCAACACAATGTGCTGAGCAACATGTCTTTCTTGGGAAATGCATGCTGGTGTCTACGAACCTGCTCAACAGATTCTCTCCAGTGCGACTTGCACTTCACAGTCCTGTGCTTTGCTTTGCCACCCGTTGCCACAGAGTGAACTGTCAAGCGTCGGAATGGAGCTTGTCAGGTCCTGAGTAGCACCAGCAGAACAGTCGGCTCTACCAGCTCCCGACCGTGCTCCTCGAGGCGACTCGCCAAACTCAGCAGCGATGTGGGAAGAGGTGCGGCGCCTTCCAGACTCGCCCTCTGTTGCGTGCGGGGGCCCAAAAGGGCAGCATCATCCGTCAGCGCCTGCCACTGGCACAGGTCCGGTGTCTGCGTTCACAAAGCTGCTGAAGCTCGCGCTTCGCTCCTGAACGCACTGCTATCAGATCCCTGGCCATCAAGGCCGGGCCATCTGGGAATGCCGTCATGTGGTGATGAGCGCTAGATAGCGCTAGAGTCTCGGCGACTGCGTCACGGGTGCAGCAGTCCTCCAGAATAGATCGCATTCCCTCAACGCCCATGTCAGCGTGACCTGCAGCATCGAGACCACCACGCACGTGTGAGAGGTTGAGGCAGGCTTGTCTGCTGTCGAGCAGGCGTGGTGCGGCCTCTTTTTTGCCGGCCTAACTGGCTAAGGGTATGTGAAAGCTGGTAATTTCTGATCTTTGGATTGTGTTGCGAAGGCAGTCGTGCATCCTCCCAAGGGAAAATGGTGCGAGGCGCTTCCCTCGCAGCGTCAGATTGACGAAGGCACAGCCTGCTTTGAGCAGTCTGGTCGACTGCAAATCAATCTCGGTTGCACCGCATTAAAATTTCTGATCCTTGGTTATGCACACTGCTGAAGAGATGTACTTCGTGCTCAGCGTGCTAGGCTAGGCCCTGCTAACCAATTGAAAACTTCTTTGGGATGGCCGGAAGGTGCCCTCGTACTACAGGCGGAGCGGTCTAGTAACTAGTACGCACTAAAACGACAGAGAAGCATAGCACACCTGCTGAAGTCCGATGCATCCCGCAGTATCGAAGCGTGCCGGGCTCTGGCCGGCAGATACTTGTGCTTGCCTGAGACTGTCGCAACCTTCAAATGTTTCCACACTGTATGGATGGATGCCAAAGACGTCGATGTTGCGGTGGCACTAGTCATCAGTGAGACTTGCCGTAAGAGCCCGGGTTCTGCACAGGTACGCCTGAAGCGTAAGGATCTGATGCGGAAGGATCAGGTAAAAGATCTCCGAATCTGCTTCAGCCAAGGGGGCGAGCGGACCAAGTCAAGCTTCCCGCGAAAATATTGTGGCACAGCGACTGTCTCTGAAAGCATGGCAGCTGAAGAACCAAGCTTACTGCGTCAGTTGTGGCGACCAGATGTGTGTGTGTGTGTGACAGTCGCAGCCAAAAAAACAACCACAACGTAGATTCAAACACTTTCAGCGCAGGCAGAATGGTGTGGCGGCTAGTGAGACGGCTGTCGGCCGCGCTGCTTACAGCCGGGAACACAACCCGTGGGTGTGTGTAATGTCTCCAGCTTTGACAAGAACAAACAGGGTGGCGACTGCAGCTTGAATAAGCTGGTGTTCGGGGCAGAAACAATCACAGTTCGGCTGAGTTGGATGAATACATCCGTCGTGGATTCCTTGGTCGCCGTCCCTGCGGTGGGATTCAGAATGGATGGAGAATTCAATCCGGTCACATCAGCACGAGACCAACCTGTGCATGTGGTGATGTATGTCACTGTAGCAAGCATTGTTCGTCCTTAGAAACTTGAACAGCTCGCTATCCCAGAGCCTGAACTCCCTGTCATCCGTGTGGGGCTGTTCAAACACTCATCTGCCACCAACTGGAGTACAACCTGCGAATCTTCCGCACAGCATCGGCCTATAGTCTGGTCAGGAACACTGGGCTCTGCTTCCCGCGAGACTTGTTCTGACCGACCGTGGACCGATGGCCCAAACCCAACCAAACGGACTGCCACTTTCACGGACTGCCGGGCGGCCTGGGCCCGGCCCGCCCGCCGCACAGCGCGCGGGCGGCTCGCCGTGAGTCGGAGACCACTTTCAGACAAAACAACAACCAAGAAAACAAGACTCTCTCGAAGAACAGCAGGGCATTCTGTTATAAATCTCTCTGCTCGTTTTGGCAGTGGGGATTTCGGCAGTGGCACCGACAGGCTGCAAGGTCTGAAGCACGAAATAATCGCAGGATCATGACACCTAGCTTCCGATTCCAATTCCCGGCTCAGACCATGCCGTTTGTTTTGACCTGTCGTCGCGAGGACAGGAAGGATCGGGAAGGCTTGCTGAAAAGTCGCGATGGCTCGACTCGCAAAGGGACTGTCCGTCCTCTCTGGGAATCAGAGGGAATTTGTACAGCAGAGCTCGGCCCTCAGTGGATTCCAGGCCTAGCCTTTTCCAGCCAGCTCATGAGCTTCCTTAAACCCGCTACAGCTCTGCTGCGAAATTGAATCGAGACTTTTGAATTGCATCAATTTATCAATTAGTATTCATGCCGATTAAAGCTGCGGGGATGGCTGTCGGCGTTGCAGCCAAATATCTGACGAAGGGCCATAACGTTTTCGAATTCGTCCCTCGTTCATGCAGGGGTAGCCAGATGCTGCTCACCATTGACGAAGTCCTGAAGACTCGCGCCACGAGCTGACCTTGCACAGGGTCGCACACAGCCCCCCAAGCAATAGGGGCAAAGAGGTGTCTCGGTGAAGTCTCCACACTTGTGCCTCACATGCTGATCTAGGCCCATCTAGGCCTGCATCCAACCAACCAAGACAAGGCGCATCCATGCACGAGAGAATTCCTGCAGGTTCGTCGGCAAAAATTCATCAACACAACATGCCAAGGAGTCGGGAGTCGGGAATGCATCACCAACAGCTCGTGGAATTGATGTTCACACTTCAAGACCAGAACTCCTGAAGATGCGTTTTCGCGTCTAGAGTCTAGAGCTGGTAGACGGTCATGCCACCTGGTGAAAACTGTGCATGTACAATCACGACAGCAACTCTGCCCCAGGATCTCCAACTACTGCCTTCGCTGTAGTGCGCCAGACGCTCCAAGCCACAACCTGCAAGTTTCGGTGGCCGCGCTGACGCTGCTCATATCTTGTGGAATATTAAAGGGGGCCTGGTATAGAACTCTGTCCTTGTGGAGAAAGCGGTACCTCGCGCAGCATCCGGATAGAGCACGCTGAAAGAGGGGGCACTTGCGCGATATTGAGAAACCAATTAGTTTCCAAACTCTTGTTGCAACCAGCCGAGAAGCTCCGCCAGCATCCCGATCGATGGACGAACTACTCAGGTCCTTGGAATCTTGGACGACTGTAGATAACTTTGCATGGATAATTGTCCCCTACCATGAAATCACCAGCACTTGCGCTTCAAAAAATTCAACGGCAAACGTCACCTGGCTCCAGGAGGTAGCAGTAGCAGCAGCAAGCGCTAGCCACCATTATTACTCCTACTCCTCCTTTTCTCCTGCTCCTGCTCGCTTGCACTGCTACGGTTCCTGCTCGTGTCTCTCCACCCACAAACATCGGCAGACGTACTCGTTTCACCGGGGCGACATAGAGAAGTCAGCGGTGACTAGGACAGCTTTAAGACGAATGCCTTTCAGGCAGCGGAAGTGGTAGTGCGAGGGTAATGGTAGTGGTAGCGGCAGTGGTATGGGTGAGAAGGTGTAGGAGGACGTGGTAGGAATGCGGCAGCTGCTGCTGTCCGGAGCGGCAGCATAGGCATGGTGTTAACACCAGTCTTGCAGGAACAGCTCAAACGGATTGCCAGCGACAAGCCAAGGCTCAGATCGGAAGCTTGGAGCAACGACAATCGAATCTGGAGTATCCCTGTCAATTCAACTCTGTGTTTTCCGAGGGCACAAGACCAAGCAATCGGAAACATGCCAACGTTATGCAGAAACTGCAGGCTCAGCCAAGTCACGAGATCACCAGCTGCATGCTCTGTGAAAGCTCATGAACATGCCACAATCTTCATGTCCAATGCCCTGCCTTGTGTCCTTGCTGGAGGGATCAGTAGGGTTTGAGTCAAGCCAGGCCTGTGCCTCGCTTTTGCACACTGTACATGAAGCGCAGATCTCTGCTGCATGACCAGAGAACCTCCCATCTAAGGCATCTGCACTCGACATCGCCGTGCTGTCCCCTGAAAGGCCTCGGAAAAAATGGAGTCTTGACTTGTTGTTCGACAGGGACGTTTTCCGTGTTCTTCGAGCTGGACACAGGGCACGATGGCACTTCGAGGAACCGATTGCCAGAGCAGATTGAGTGGCATGGACGGCGTTACTTGTTACTTCTGACAGCCACACTGTTTTGTCAAAGAGGCTGACATCTGCAGGAATTGGTCGTGCTGCAGAGGCTTCCGTGGGAAAGAGCAGGGAGAACTGATCTTCGATCCTTCATTGCGTTCACACTTCTGCTCAAAAGGCTGTCAATCTTCCACAGAACTTAGCTTACTGAGGATTCTGCCAGTCCTGGAACTGATCACAGGATCTGACCCTGCAAGCTCATCCAGCTGCGACTTTAGCATGTCCACCGTGACGTACTTGCGGAGAAACGAGACCTCAAGGCCGCAAGGACAAACACTTTGAGCTGCGACACTTCGTCTTTTCCAAACGGCTTCCAGGGACTTCTATTCTGTTCCTTGCTTCATACATCTGCCGTGGGATCTTGAACCATTGGCAGCCCGGCCCACCAGTCAAAGAATTGCACATGCCAATGCTTTCCGAGACCGCTTCAGCACATGTTCGCATGCCTGTGCACCTAATGTCCGACTGCCTCACATGATCCGTGATGCACTGAGAAGGTGAGGCAGGCCATCATGCGAATTCCGCGACCGTCAGCAGATACGCAGTCAAAGCGGGCTCGTTGTCAAGCAAGCGGCATCATCTTTAGACTCTAGCCCACCACGAAACTCACGGGGTGGAGGGGGGAAGGGGCGAGTGCTGAGTACTTCTTCCACTTGAGCTGCACGTGATGACTGGCTTTGAAACCGCTGCCCTGACTTTAAACTTTCCACTCAACACAACGGATAGGTGACATCATTCGCACAGGATTACAGACAAAGTGAATTGACGAGTCTCGATACTGCCCAACCACAGCCACCAACATAACAGTTTCGACCGATCGCAGAAGCTGCGCCTACCCAATTGATGCGGCCACGAGTTCATGCGAGTGCTGCTGATAACACGGGGTTGTTTGAATTCAAACTTGCAAAAACTTAACCTCGTTGTTACCGTGGCAAAAGGTTACTAGCCGAAGCATCACTTTCTGAAGAACTCGCAGGGACAGACACTGACTCGGTTTGCCAAGTGCAGTTGGCAGGCTGTCAGCGGCACACGCTGCCCTGCTTCGAAAACTTGAGGTGCACTGGGTCCTCAGCGCTGCAAAATTGCAGATCAAGGGGCGACGACAACAATGGCGAATAAAAACGACGGTGGTGGTGGTGGTGATGATGATGATGATGCTGATGATGCTGATCAGCAGTAAGAGTAGTAGCAGCAGTAGTAGCAGCAGTAGTAGAAGTAGAAGTAAAGTAGAAGTAGAAGTAGAAGTAGAAGTAGAAGTAGCCGTAGTAGTCGTAGTAGTCGTAGTAGTCGTAGTAGTCGTAATAGTCGTAATAGTCGTAGTAGTAGTAGTAGTAGTAGTAGTGGTAGTGGTGGTAGTAGTAGTAGTAGTAAGTAGCAGTAGTAGCAGTAGTAGCAGTAGTAACAGGAGCAGCAGCAGCAGCAGCAGCAGCAGTAGCAGCAGTCGCCGTCGTCCCGTCGTCGTCGCAGTAGTCGTAGTAGCAATAGTAGTAGCACCAGTAGCAGGAGTAGCGGGAGTAGTAGGAGTGGCAGTGGCGATGGCAGAGGCAGTGGTAGCAGGAGCAGGAGTAAGAGCCGTCGTCGTCGCAGTAGCAATTTGCCCTCAATCTGTCGTGTCCCAAAGGGCAAGAGCTGTTGGTGTTCTGCTTCTGCATCAGCATCATCCTCGGTGGGAAGCTGGGAAGCGGGGTGTAGGGCTGAAGAGTTAGGGCTTCAGCGGCTGGGGCCTATAAGGCCCTAAGGTTTGGCGTGCACGGGTTTAGGGTGCTTGGGTCTAGGGCCTACGGCTCCTGCTAAAAGGGATTTAGGGTCTAGGGTTCCAAAGTTTGGGGGCGGTGGCTCAAAGTGAATTTCGAAGAACGGTCCATTAAGGGCAAATTCTAGGGTTTAGTGTTCACCTGTGGCCCAAAAACCTACCTCTTTAAGGAACTATAAATATATAATGTAATGTGTATATATATATATGTGTATATATATATGTATGTATATATAGATAGATAGATAGATAGATAGATAGATAGATAGACAGATAGATAGATAGATAGATAAGATAGAAACCCTGACAAGGATGGCCTTTTCGGCTACAGGTAGAGGCATCCCACGACTTGGAGTGCCGCCTTTTTGCAAGACGCCACCACCCACAAACTCCGGAATATGAATCGCTGGATGCGGATTCCAGGGCAATGATAGGGCCTTAACCGTTTGAATGTGGTTTCAGGGTTTTCGTGTACGTATACTATGCTATGATTATGATGAGGAGCCCTAAGGACTAAGGAACCCCAAGGACTAAGGAACCCTATGGACAAAGGACTAGAAACCGTGACTACTATTGGTAGTTATTCAGGCTTCCGCGTGAAAATATCACGAAGGTCACCAAGCCTGGAGTTGATCTGCTCCGACTAAGGCTACGGTCTCAGCTGCGCCTTCCATGTGGAAGCATCTGCTTGAACCGTCAATGTTACTACAGTACCTCCTGCAATCGGAGACCAGAAGCTCGGGCAGGGCATCAAGGGCCCTAAAATTTTCCCAAACCTTCACAATTCAACCCCAGGCACACTGCACCCGACTCACTGCACCCCTGAACCGTAAACTAGCATGCCGTACCTTCCAAAACCTAAACTTCTGTCAAGTTTGCAGGGCTAGGGCCAGGGCATTCTGCTGCCAGGGCGCTTGAAACACAAGTGAGGTCGGCTGGGGGGGATCCAGGCTATTTCGGTGGCAGCTCGGAGCAAAAATCGCGACGGGGCACTTGGCAGCTAACTGTCAGAGGAGGCGTGCACCCATCCAGCTCTCCGTGTCATCCGTCCTTACACGGACACATACATGGGTGCATGTACAAATATGGATATGTGTAGAGACTTAGATTTAGGTATTTCATTAGATATAGATATAGATTCAGATATAGATCTAGATGTAGATAAAGCTATAAATATACATATAGATACACACATGGACAGGTATGTATCTGCATGCGTACACATATGTATGTGCGTACGTATGTGTATATATATATATATGTATACATGCATACATCATATGCCTCCGTGTGAGAGCAAGCACTTCCACGTGCCGCATAGATGCGAGTATATGTGTTTCTCTTGCTATGTGGCAGGAAGTATGTGTGTGTGTCCAATGCACATATGTATAAGTGTGTGTGTGTATATATATATACACACAAACCTTTGCATGCATGCTGAGTATATATATATATATTTATTTATTTATTTATTTATATTATATACATATATATATACACACTCACACATACACAGCTTTAGATAGAGGGATAGATGCCAAACACCTGGATAGATCGTTAGATAGCCAGAATACTCCAACAAGGATCGCGCATACCAAGGGAAAACAGCAGAGGGCAGGCTGGGCAGAAGCTTCAAGTATGATGCCTGAGCGTGTGGATCTGCAGGCTCTGGGCAAAAGATGTTGGACACAACCTTAGACTTCTTAGACTTGACTCCACAAGGCTACAAAACCTCAAACTCGACAACTAGCGGCGATCATGCCTGTATCTGGAACCGTGATGCCAGGTGCATGAACTCGCTCTGGAAGGCCTATGCCCTTGCCGATCGTCATGGGCCAGATCACATGTTGCACAACCTGTCAAAACTTGTTTGCTGGGGGTCCTGGTGTATTATACTATACTATAGTTGGGTTCGACTGCCCCACAAACAGCGAAGAGTTCAATGAACTCCTTACGTTTGCTGCGCACGATGCGAACAGCACGGATTGCGCCAAGGTCACTCAAGCGTCCGCTGAATTTGCAGTGCGCACATACACCTTCTACTTATCGGTGTTCCATGCGTACCCAATTGCCTTTGCTTGCTCGAGGTCTCTCTTCCGTCTATTCCTTTCAGCATGCTTTCGACAGAAAGCTTGACAGAACATCGTGAAACTAGATGATATGCCTGCCGACATGCAGGAGGTCCTGTTCGCAACTGTCCTCTTATGTAGGTTCCTGCATGCCGGGGTCCCTAAGATAAGGATCCCAGTCACCAGGGCCTATCTCTTAAAGGGTTCTTGGTATTCCGAAACTCCCATATCCCACCCTGCAAGCACTAAAACAACGCCGATACTTGGATTGGTTTCTGGAACTCCAGTGCAAAGAACCCCTATTAAACCCTGTACCAAGTCCGCAGACCTTTTGTAATTAGTAGGATATGAGGCCGCATAAAACGAGAACCCTTCCAAAGCAAATCCGAAAAAAACCCGAATCCCTCAACCCAAAGCGCCCCCTAAACTTCAAGGAACCCTCGGACCCCAAACCCACAGCTCGATTCCTGTGCCTCCCGGGTGGTGTGCTCCGCCGCGAAGTGTTTCTCGTTTTCCTTTCTGGTAGGGCTCTTGGAACTGGCGGCTTTCACTTTAGGCTCAGGGTTTATAGGGTTTAGGGTTTATGGTTTAGGGTACGGCTAGTCTAGGAACATGCATTAAAGCATAGAGAGAGCCTCGATACATAACACATGGCACGCGTGGTGCTGTGCTCACGCAACGCAGTCCAACCCCCAAAAGCCCAAACACTAGCAACCCTCCATGCTCATGCCGAGGAAATCAAAGCGAAGACAAATCCGAGGTCCGAAAATGCACAACGATCCAAAGCTATCTACTGCAGGGTGTCCGGAAAGCTTTGGGTTTAAGTAGGGGGGCCTTAACAGTTCAGCATCCTTTTCAGTAATGCCCAACAACACCGGCACAACACCCTCTTCAACTTCAAAGCTCAAAAAACCCCTGAACCCCTAAAGTAAAGCCCAAGAATACCAAGCTCGTGAAGGTGAGTAGCTATCTCACAGAGCTGGTCGAGGCTGATGCCCCACCTCTTGAACCGGCACCAGGGCCCGGGCGTTCGGGTTGGGCCCCGGGGGGTGTGGGGCTTCGGGTTTTGGGCTTAGGGCTTGGGGTGCTTTGGGGGGTAGGGCTCTGGGTTATTGCAGAAGCCTAGGGTTACCAGACTCCTGGATGTTGGGTGCTTCGGTGGTATTGATATTGAATCTCTCTTACGAGGCTTGTCTCTTGGTGAAGGGGGAGTAGTCATCTTCGCACGATCACAGGTCCTGTGATTGAAGAAACGCTATCAACACCCAAAAAATGTTGAACTATCCTGCAAGCCACAAAGGCTCAACCCCCCCTCCTTCCCAAAATGCATGAAGGGATCTAATACCCCAAAAACCTGCCTAGAAAGCCAGAAAGGCTGAACAACTTGAAACCCAAACAGAACTCCTCACACAAACCCCTGTGGAAATCTTGT